AGACCAGGTTTCACGGGTTAGTATCTAGTCACTTCCGAAAAGGTATGCTGAAGAAGTCTAAGTGTTTGCAAAGGACTCTGACCAAGTGTGAATCCCTCAGCTAAATTTGGCACATTTGTCTTGCATTTCTCTTGTGTCAAAATGCTTCCAGTTCTCTTCAAAGAATTCAATTTGACTTGTCTCAGGTAGACTAGATTCCTTCGACTATTGTCCCACCTCATACATTGTACCACTGATGTACTTCACTGCCTAATCTTCCAGTGTATTGCTGTATGTCTTCCTGGGGAGACGAATTGGCCCCAAGCACCCTCTGATTATCATGAAATCAACTATGGCCTCACACTTCATCAACGATATGCCTGAAATGAAGATCATGATCGCTAATGATCTGAAACTCTCATTTACACCCCAGTGTGCATTTCTAGGGTTCTTCTAGGTTTAAAAATAAACTAGTTCTGTCAGGTGTTGCTTTAAATTCTCTTCACTTGTCCAGAGGATGATAACAAGCCTCAGGAGGAAGTTCGGGAAGAAGTCAGCGAGGAATCACGGTCCAAGACCGAGCGCGTCACATTGCGTTCTCTGCAGCAGAAACTGATGGAGTCAGTCAAAAAGACACGCAAACCGACAAAATACGAGAGCCTTGTTAATGAAACATTGGAGTTCTTTGATTCCATCTTCAGGTAAAAACATCTCAACAAAGGGAAGGGGGAAATGTGCAGTTTGGAAACAAACTTTTAAGATTTTAGGCATCAGTGTTACTGCACGGTCCATTTTTATTTCCGTTAATTTCACAGGTCTGTTAAAGAAAACAGCCAGATGTCAAATTGCCAAGGAAAACTGGAAAGAAAGCACCTGGACATGTAGTAATTCTTTGCTTTTCTTTTTTGCAGAAAGCACCTGGTGTGTCCGAATACATTGACCTTCCACGAGATATTTTATTACAACTCGGTGTCTGACGTGAGGCATCACATCAATGCCTCACCCAGAGCAGCAATACAGACTGCCCTGAATAACCCATCCCACTACCTGCAGGTAGCTTTGAAGATCACCTTCCAAACAGTGTGAAAGTCAGTCAGAAGTTTCAAGTAAATTATTTATCCACGTGTGATCGCAAAACCTTTGTGGTTTTGGCATGATTGTTGCCTTTAGACAAAAGTAATTGATTTTGTTAGAGATTCAGCCACTTGTTTTCAGAGAGTTACCAAGGACGTCAATTATGATTTTTTTCATAGAGTGAGTTGTGCAAAGCTGAGCCTGGGGTTGTTCTGAGCACAATGCCTGATGTGTGCATTGCCTACAAGCTACACATGGAGTGCGGGCGACTCATCAACCTCTACGACTGGCTGCAGGTGGGATATTGACAGAGATAAGATTACAAATTGATCTGATACATTGTATACTCTCCTTCCATGGGAAAATGCACAGAAAAACATTTATGCAATTTCATATAGGAAAGCGGCTATGAAGTCAAGGAATAAGGAAATTTCAATCTATTCAAGTATTTGTACATTGCTGTACTTGGTAGTGGCCCCATGGGAAGTAACATAAACGGCGAAAATCAGACAGTCCAAGGAACGGTTGCAAACATCATCAAAACAATAGCAATACATCTTGAAGATGGCTGGTGTACGCTAAGGGTGATAACGTTTGCAAAAAAAACTGCTTGTTGCGTTTGAAGTTGGATCTCTAAGATTTGGCTTTGATGGTAATTATTCTGGAGTAAGACTGCAAAAACATGAATGCGGTTGTAGAAGCTTGACAGTTTACAATATTTTACCATTTCAAAGTTAGTGAATCTTTTGGATTTGAGACTTTTGTGATTGAATACTACTGAACAATAGGGTGCATTACGTAGTTGCTTTTTTGAGCCTGAGAATGAATATTTTCCGTCAGAGAAAAAATTATCATACTGAAAACATTTTATTTTTACGTGGCTGTGACAAGTCTCTTTCATTGGAATCGTGGTGCCTTTCTTTTGGGCAGGCTTTCATCACTGTGGTAACTGGTGAACAAGAGCAGGATGAGGGCTCCCATGACAACAGCAAGAAACCAGATCCACAGCTGCAGTATCCTTTTTCATCATTTGGGTGAACTTCAAAAATAGCTTCCAAAAATTTGTTCTAATTTTACTATAAAGGTAATTGGAATGCTGTTCTCTATTTTCTGCAGTAAAGTTTTAGAGTCATATTTAATATATTTTTCTATCAATTTTGAGGATGATAATCATTTATATGACACTCAACAGTGTAATAATGAATGCTTTATACTTGTTAAATTTGAGGCAGGTTGAAATTTCAAGCATACAGTCTGAGTGGAAGCAATACCGTCTTGGTAATATCTGCCAGTCGTGATTGTTGATATCTCCTTGACCTTTGACCCTCTCCGCTCAGGGCTCGTTTCATCCGTGCAGTGTCAGAGCTCCAGTTCCTGGGATTCATCAAGGCGACACGGAAGAAGACTGATCACGTGGCCAGGCTGACTTGGGGTGGCATATGAGGGGCGAGATCAAGGATTCACTAGGGTGTAACGTTGCAGTAAATTTGTTCCCAGTCTGTGGCCTTTGAGTGCTGATTGGGAGATGGAGAGTTTTGGAGTACAATTAAGGATTAGCAGTTACACGACTGTCATGCCTGAAATGGGCTTCCACTGCTAAAGCCAAGTCTATTATCAGTGTGACCAGGTGAATTTACAATGGGTAGATACCTAGATCTAGCTGTAGACAGCAGCCATTGTTTGCTTGCACAGTGCACCATTATGGAGGGAAGATTTTGTTGTGAAAGTGTAAAGCATCTGCTCATGCACATTACATGGAAACAACAAGCTTCCCTCTTTGATGGTGCACTGTCAAGCTTTGTACATGAGGACTGCTAGTCTTGTCCAGTCAACAGTGACTGGTAAACTCATGCGGGCCATGTGACAGCATTCAGCATCATCAGTGGGCTTCAGCACAAGCAACTGTAAGCCCCAATCAGCCCTTCTAATTGCTCACAGGGTTGGCAATCGTGCATGGGGTTATCATACCCATTTGGTCTGCCTGCAGTTGCTGGGCAATAGTGGAGGACTAAAGCACTACCCAGTGGTGACCCACTAGAGGCCTGACCAATTTTCAACTTAATGAGCACAAAAGTAAGCACTGTGCTTTTCTTGCATTCTAATTGGCAAGTCACCTTGAAGATCAAATTTCCGATGAAATTTTGCAGTTCCACAAAAGGTTATATTTTTGTACGGAATTTACAATGTTACCTTTTTTGTTTGATTTGCTATAACTTGTAGGTTTGCTGTATGTCATAGCAATACATCAAATAAACATACAAAGGGAATACAAGACGTGTAAATACTTTCAATGTTTCAGGTTTATTCTTGCATTTTTCCTCTTCCTTCAACAGATTCAGGTTTACACTTAAGTTCTGAAAAAGAAACACAAACTTTCAAGCAGAAGATGCTCGTTATGTTGGTTCTCAGGGTTCAAAATACCCAGTGGACCAAGGCCAGCGATTTTTAATGTCTTGTAAGACCACTTCCCCTACAAGCTCGGCATTTGAGTGTTTTACTAACATACTGGTCTTTGAATTATTTTGAAATTTTCAGGAAAAGAAACAGCTTGAGCTCAATGTTCTCCGAGACAAACGCACACTAACAAATATGTATTACATGCACATACTATGTAACTTATGACACAGTTCATGTGTAACAGTTGGTTCAGTCACTTATACTTTTGTTCCTATATCTGTCTTTAGCAGGTTCCAAGTCTGGTAAACTTTATGAAGTGCTGGCCTTGCGTTCCTGTATATTTCGTCACGAAAATTAAATCCAGGTTTCTTTAAATTTTGCATCACTTAACCGCTTTGCACTGTAAATGAATTCAAGCCACATTTACTTTCTATAACTATCAACCAATCACAGTTCTATATTTTCTCTTAAACAAAAAACACTATTAAAGCAGTATCCCTTTTGTATGAGTGTTAACCAGAACTGGTTATTTATTTTGGGGGAAAATTTGAACCTTGACAAAACAGTCATCATTACTGCACAAAAACAGCATCACCCTTTGTTACACACAAGGTACATACTTAAAATGACAAAGGAGGGCCCGACGTTTTGTTCCTAGCAGAATCTTTCTCAAAGGCAAAAAGGGTACAAATCTTAATCATGGAATCAGTTTGCAAGTTGAATGAAATGATACAAAATTAGCTTTCACTGGAACTGCTTGACACAAAACAGATATTTACATTCTGTGACACTCTTCCGGTTATATCATTTAGACGCTTGTAGGCGACACCTGACGTCTAGTTGATCTTTGCATTGGAGAAATCCATCTCAGGGTGTTGCTTCATAAATCTGTAGTGGAAAAACCATTGAATCATCAGCCATATTTGAAAAACTAAATCCGTTTCCTCCAATTGTACTCTGTACTGTCATTTTTTTCTGCAGTTTTAAGATTCAAATCCCATGGGAGTTTTGTTCTTTATACAAATGTTGATTTCGTACAAATGAAAATGTTTGCAGCAATTTCTTAATGGCTGTGGTTCATATTTGGTCAATTCCTACACAGTGAACACACAAGCCAAGACAGTGTTGTTTATCGTTCAAGTCTTCCTTACCACATATTATTGCCCTGTTGTCAGTTTAGATTGTTTTAAACTAATCTAAGGGGTTGCGGGAACTTTTGTTGAAATTGGAGAATTCTGACTGCAGGGTGGATCAGTTAACTCCTAGCACTCTAATCCAGAAATTTCTTCATTGAGAAAGTATGGTTGTCGAACTCAACATGGTTTTGCTATCTTCCACGTGATCAGTTCATTTACTCCCCTTTATGGGATGCAGTTAAAAACGTACATCAGGAAATACATCCGCACATTAAGTAAAGTTATTATTGGGAGTCAAAAGCCACATCTATGTCTCACACTTTTGAAAGAGGCTATGGTTAACACAACAGCAGGACAGTGTCATTCATCCCAGCTGTAGCCCTAAATTTGTGGCATTTAAGCAAAGATCATGTCTTACTTCTGGAGCAGTTCCTGTTTCTTCTGATCTTCAGAGGTTGGCAGCCCCATCTGCTTCTGTCTCTGGTCATACATCATCTTTTCCACCATTCCCCGCGTCTCCCCATCCAGATCAGACAACTGCATGAGAAAACACATTTTTAATTTAGGAAATGAGCAAAGGAACCTCTGTTTTCAGCATATATGACCTTGACAGTAAGTTCAGTGACATCAAATCTCTGAATATCTTAAATCTTCAACTCCTTGATCCAGACATGCAACTGGAAAACGAGGCAATTAGCAACTGCACAATACTTTGCAGTGTTTTTCAAGTGTAATTAGCGGATCCAAAAAGTGCTATGCATGTTATCCTTTCTTTACAAAGAACTTACATCCTCCAACAACATCTACCTTGCAGGAACATAACAGCAGGGAACTCAAGCAGCATGTAAATGAGAGCAACTTGGAACTACCTTCCTGTTAAGCCAGAATTTTTTTTTAAATGCCCCTGGTAGCCTTGGAAGGGTTAGGATTGGAATTGGTTACACCGAAAAAATATTCTGACCTCAAGGTGCTTACTACCTGGAACGTATTCTCTGGAAAAAAAGACCTTGCAAAAAAACATGATCACCTTTGAGTTTTCTGGGTTGACCTTCTTTGTGTTGATTTCTTGGTCAGTGAGAACCACTCGACTCCACCACTCCATCCTGTTTATCTGGGGAGAGACAAAATTAGCATAAAAAAGAAGCATTGTTCAAATAATGAGCAGCACAATCTTCATGCAAATAACAGTGGTGCAAGTTGGACAGTTTTTAGAAAGCATCCGGCAAAGAGTTCCTCTTTTACACACTGTGATTTGCAGATAGAGTTGTCCTCGAAAGGATTGTGTGTCCATAAGCAAGATACTTTGTGGCAATTGCTCTTCTTCAACCACAGGAGATGGAACCTGACTATCAGTGACACCACAATGGAGCAATACAGAGCACTGCAGGATTCTTGAGGAAGCATACAGGTACCAGCAAAAATTACAAGTGTATTGGGGGCAAAGCCATATACTTAAAATTCTTCTGGATTTCTTTTACCTTCTCAAGGAATAGGACTACTCTTTTTTTGTCCTCAATCACCCAGTTGCTCTCCTCCACTTTGATCTCATTGAATGTTTCACCTTCGAGGACTGGCGGCTTGCCCTTCAGGGCGACCTTTAACCTTTTTCTGTCAATTTCTACAATCAGGTCGCGGCTCTTGATTGGGAAAGGCACTTCAAACGGAACGTGCACCTGGTTCATGGGCAAAAAGAAGCAATAGATTTGGTTTTAACACTGTGAAAACAAAGAGGCTGATGTACTCTTCCATGATTCCTTTCTCAGCTGGCAGTTGATTTACCCAGCATGAGGATGAAACAATTTATGAAACTCTAAAGAAATGCCTTTCTCTTTTTTGGCTTTCAAGCTTTAGAAGTAAAGAAGTATTCAATGGCGGTTTTTAAGTTCCTAGTTGTTTGTTTTTATCTATAACAATTTTCATCAGAAGATAAGTGTTTCATCAGAAGATAAGTGTTGCGATCAATTCGGGACTGGACTAGTCTCCACCCAAAGGGGTAAAAACTCTCTTTTGTTTCTGACTTGACAGTCAGCCATGTGCACTTGCAACAGGCCATCTCCAATGGAATACTTCTACGGTTCACCATAGCTGAGTGAAAGTGAGCAACACTAGAATACTCACCTCCAGCTCACCGAGTGTCTGAGTGAATCTATAGTTTGGGTAGTCACCACCATTGCCTTCATTGGGCTTGAGTTTGCCTTTGTCTTGCTCATCCTCCTCCTCCTCATCACTGTTGTCTCCCTTGATAAGATGCATTGCCATGGAAACAAGATGTGATAAGATGCTTCAGGCCCTTAGGGCATACATCAGTTTGAAAAGTAATTTCATCACCAGAAAATAAGGTACTATTTTCTCTGTGGCATCCATTACTGCTGATATTTGGTTTACATATGTTGGTGGACACAACAGTGAAATTAGCTCAATGGATGTATCCATAAATACTTTCTTCCTACAATTTCGAGACACTGATATGCTTATAAAATGGACACATTCTATGGTATCCTTGCTTAAGTCACCTTTTTGAGTGAAGATTCCTCAGTGTCTCCAGTTCTATCTTCTGTCTCCGCAGCTGTTCCATTAACTTTTGCAGCTTCTTTGCTCTGCAGGGTTATAAGAAGGAAAAAACAAACAGTTTCAAGCACAGTGGCTTCCTCAGCGTAACCATCACCGTTACTTTCAAGTAACAACACTTGATTCACAACACTTTCAATACAACTTTTGATTACAACACTATACTATGCAGAGTTGTAATCGAGTCAGTCACAAGCCACTGCAAGTCACCACAGTCCCGAGTCATTCAGCCACAGTCAAGTCAAAGCTATGGACAAAGGCATTTCTTTGTTATTGTTCATCTATTTAGTTCTGTCTTGATTTCGGAAATGACTTATGAGTTGACTTGTGGGCTGACTTGTGACTGAAGATCTACAACTCTGATACTATGTACATGTACAGTGTTTAAAGTGTTTGAGGCATGTGTGTTTGAATGCCCCAAAGGGTTAATGTCGAGCCTCATCTTACCTTGATTTCCTCTTGCAGCCTGCTGGCCTCGTCATCCGTTATCTCCCGGATCTTGGGCTCATCCTCTTCCTTGGCAGCCGCCACCTTCCTCTTGGCCTCTTCTTCGGCACGTTTCTTGGCCTCCCTCTCCTCCTTGGCTCTCCTAGCTGCAGCCATCTCCTCCTCTCTCTTGCGCTTCTCCTCCGTGGCGATAGCTTGCTGCTTCTTGAAGGCGTCGATGACGTGCTGAAAAACAATCATCACGGAAACAATGCACTCCCAGCCTCCGATATCAGACTTGTTTGATTAGTTTGAGGGCATAGTTAACATTATTCCTTTATTTTCAGTACAATGTAGCACAGGGAAAATATAACTTTGATGTATTTCATCACTCTTATGATGATTGA